ACATAAATTTGTTTCCCTTAGCAATATATGATTTAGTGCTGCTTTGTTGTAAACTTTAGAAGGATTATATTGCACATGTTCTTCTGTCACTTGCTTTTTTCACTTGACGTTATATCCCTGAGATTCATCTGTGTTGCTGCATGTATCTGTAGTTCATTCAGATTTACTACTATACGTTATTACATTGTGTGAGTGTACAGTTTATTCTCTCCCCTGTTGATGGACGCGTGGCTGCTATGCATATGCTTATACAAGCCTTCTGGTGCCCAAGTCTGAGAGTTTATTAGGCCATTTATGTAAGAACAGCATTTCTGAGTCACTAGGTAAAAACACCCGTGGCTTTCAAGAAAATGCCAAATTATTTTTCAAAATTGTTGTAGCAAATCTTTGCCAATTTGAAGATATAAAATGATCTCTCGAGGTAGTTGAACATCTTTTCTTATGTTTATTGGGCACTAATGTTTATCTTCTTTGAATTGTATTTTGGTAGATTTTATCCATTTATATATTGAGTTCATCTTATACTTATTGATTCACTGGAGTTCTTCATATATTCTGAATACTAATTATGTAATTTTCGGTTAGGTGTATTATAAACTTTTTCCCCATTTGAGGCTTGTCAAGCAAAATTTTTTTATTTCTAATTTTTTTTTTTTTTAAGATTTTATTGGGGAATTGGGGGAGGGGAACAATGCTGGGAAATCAGGGGAAGGAGAACAGACAAGTTGCTGTTGTTTTGTTCTTCAGTCTAGTTGTGGAGGACGTTGCTTCACTGGCCCAAGTTGGCACCATCATTGCGTTCTTCCTGGGCGAGGCAGATCAGTCACTGGCCTCTGGACAGCCGCTCACGCTGGCTGCCGGCTACACACAGTAGCCCATGGCAACCCACTGCAGCAGGGACTGCAGCCTACACCATCGCCGGCGACCCACGGCAGCCCAGCTCCAGGTTGAGCTGTTGTTCAGCATCTTAGCTGTGGAGGGCAGTGTCACTGGCCCTCATATGTGGGATCCGAGCCGGGGCCCTCTGGCGTCCCAAGCCAGCTCTTAACCAACGCGCCACTCCGCCGGCCCTATTTCTAATTTTTTTTAAAGTTTTTATTTAGGGAATTTCTAAACTAGTGTCACTATATCCTGTATATCCATCACTCAGCTTCAACAATTATCAGCATTTGCCAGTTTTATTTATCCATTTCCTTGTTCTCCTGAAAAGGAGTCTCAGACGTCATGTTATTTTTACTGTAAATACTTTAGTATGTGTTACTGATTGATAAGAGTTTAAAAAGAAATACCACCATGCTGTTATCACATCTAAGAAAGTTAATAATTATTTAATATTCAAATTTTCCAAGTTGTCATAGAAATGTCTTTTTGCATATTGTAGTTTGTTAGAATAAGGATCCCAACAAGGTCCACATGTTATATTGAGTCTTTTTAGTCTCATAAGCCTTTAAGTCTCTTAAATCTCCATATTTTACACTCCCCCTCAGTCAGCAATACTCTGTGTTTATTATTTTGTATTTTCCTTCATGCTTTTTCTTTGGTGTACAAAATTTTAAAAAATATATTAACTGATGTACTAGATTATGTTAATTTTTCCTACTCATTGATGCTTTTTGGGTCTTGTTGAATAAATTCCATTCCCTGGCAGCTGGTTAGCTCAGGTGGTTAGAGCGCAGCACTCATAACACCGAGGTTGCTGGTTCCATCCCCACATGGGCCACTGAGCTGCACCCTCCACAATTAGATTGAAACAACTACTTGACTTGGAGCTGATGGGTCCTGGAAAAACACAGTGTTCCCCAATAAAAAATAATAATAATAAAATGAATTCCATTCTTTATTGCCTTTTAAAGAGTTTAACAGTTTAACTTTTCACTTCTAAGTCTTGAATTCACTGGAATTTAATTTTGTATATAGTGGGGAGTTGGCATCCAATTTTAATTTTGTCCATGTGGATAATTAGTTATCATAGCACCAGTGATCTTCATAGTACTATCATCTTCAGTAACAGCTCTTTCATAATTCAGGTTTTCATATGTGCGTGTATGTTTGGTGCTATACTCTGTGTTTTATTTCATTGGCCTACTTGTCACTACAGGGTCCTAATTACTACAGTTTTATAACATTTCTAACTACCTGATTGGGTGAGTCCTCCAACTTTGTTGTTCTTCAAGATTATCTTTGCTACTCTTGGCCCTTGGTACGTCTATTTACATTTTAGAATGTGGTTATTCATTTACACACACACACACACACACACACACACACACACACCATTTTTATTGGAATTGCATTGAATTGAGGGAGAATTTCACTTTATAATATTGAATCTTCTTATCCATGAACATGGCACATCTCTCCTACTTAAGGCACATATCTTTTCTTATGGTATCTCCCTATTAAAATTATGATGCACCAATATAGAAAAAAAGTACCTTGAAATCTACCATACAAAAGGTCTAAAGCTAAAACTATAAAACTTGTGAATGAAAACAGAATATCTTTGTGATGTTCAGGTAAGCAAGATTGCTTTGGCCATAGAAATCATGAATCATAAAAGAAAGAAATTGATCCAATTGTCGACCTCATCAAAAATTTTTTTAATTAAAATGTATTGGGGAACAATGGTTAGTAAAGTTACCTAGGTTTCAGGTGTATAATTCTATAGTATATCATCTATATATCACATTGTGTGTTCACCACCCAGAGTCAGTTCTCCTTCCATCACCATATATTTGAAGACTCCATCAAAATTTTAAAACTTCTATTCATCAAAATGCATTTATAAAATAAATTGGCAAGCCACAGACTAGGAGAAAGTACATGCAATGCATATATATGGCAAAGGAAACAAGCAACTTAATTTTAAAATGGGCAAAATTCTTGAACAGGTACTTCACAGAAGGCCACACCAGTGACCAGAGCACATGAAATGTGTTTAACATCATTAATCATCAAGGAAATGTAAATCGAAATCACAGGGAGATACCATTTCATACCCATTAGGATGGCTAAAATGGAAAAAAGAAAGACAATAACAAATGCTGGAAAAACATAGAGCCTCTAGAACTCTTCTGGTTGGGAATGTAAAATGCTATAGTAATTATTTTGGAAAACTGTCAGTTTCCTAAAATATTAAATATACTTCAGTTTTATTCTCAGAAATTTATCTAAGAGAAATGAAACATATGTACACAAAAAAACCTTATACTAGACTGTTCATAAGCAGTTTTATTCATGATAGCCAACAAATGGAAACAGTCCATGTATATCAAGAGCAGAATGGATAAACGAACTTGTATATTCATACAATGGAATACTATTCAACAAAAAAGGATCAAACTATTGATATACTGAATAACATAGATGAATCTCAAACTTTATGCTGAGTAAAAAAAGCTAGATAGACACAAAAATTATGTAATGTGTTATTGCGTTTATAGGAAGTTCTGGAATAGACAAAACCAAATTGTGGTGATAGAAATCAAATCATGATTGCTTTGAGGATTGGGAGTTGACTGGGAAGGGGCACAAGGGAACTTTCTGGGATGATGGAAATTTTCTGAGTCTTCATAGGGGTGTGGATTACATGAGTGTATGCATTGATGAAAACTGATCAAATGGCACACTTAAAATCTGAGCATTTCACTGTGTGTAAAGTACACTGCAGTTTTAAAAATATGATAATTTGGGTCTCTATTAATAGCACACTTCTAGAGTTGATAAGAGGGGGTAAGTTAGGGATATTTATGCCACTCCTTTAGAGTAGTCCTTTAATAGTTATGGAAACAAAGTATTTAACTAAATGCTATATTTAGTTTGAGCTTTTTGGTCAGTTGTGCAGCCAGAGGAACTATTTTTAGGATCTTGTCAGAGTTCAAGAGTAGTTTTTATAAAGATGGAAAAGGTAATCCTCACAGGTATTAGAGCCCCAAAACCTCACACACTAAGCTTGTACTTCTGATAACCAAGCTCTAGATCAGCAGGACTCAACTAGGGACCTTTTTTCCCCTCAGTACATTTGGCCATGTCCAGAGACATTTTTTATTGTCGTGACTTGGGGGAGGGGAGGTGTTGTACTACTGGCATGTAATGAGTACAAGTTAACGAGGTGCTGAACATTCTACATTGCACAGCAGAGCCTCTCACAACAAAGAATTATCTAGTCCAAAATGTCATTGGTGCCAACTCTGAGAAACCTTGTTCTAGACCCTCTTTTGTTAGTGAAGCTGAGTCAGCCTCAGTCAACCAGGTGTTGACTACATTCATAGTCCAAACTAATTGTTGGGAACTTGGCATTTTCACAAATGATATATTTTTTTCTGACTTAATATCAAGTGTTTATAAACATACATAATCTTAAATGTTGAGAGAAAACTCCATGCATTAAGAGCACTTCCCAAAGCAAAATTTATAGTTTCTGTTGTTAAATTCTTCAGATGTAGGTTTTGTTCATAACTTGATTTCATTACATAAAAATAAATGCCCTTAGTTATCTCTCTTTAAAAAAATAAAATAAAGGGCCAGCCGAGTGGCGCATTGGTTAAGAGTTGGCTTGGGACACCAGCTCTAAGCAGCAGGGCCCCGGTTCGGATCCCACATGAGGGCCAGTGACACTGCGCCCTCTACAGCTAAGATGGTGAACAACAGCTTGACAGCATAGGCTGCAGCTCCTGCTGCAGTGGGCTGCCATAAGCTACCGTGAGTGGCCGGCAGCCGGCTTGAGCTGCTGTGAGCCGTGGTGAGCAGCCGTCCAGTGGCCAGTGACCGATCTGCCTCACCCGGGAAGAGCGCAATGATAATACCAACATGGGCCAGTGAAGCAGCGTCCTCCACAGCTAGACTGAAGAACAAAACGACAGCAATTTGTCTGTTCCCCTCCCCCAATTCCCCAATAAAATATTTTAAAAATAAATAAATAATAAAATAAAAAGCCTTTATGATCAAATTAGAGGAAATGAGTGATAGTAATTTACCTCTTTTTTTCCCTCCCTCCACAGAATGACAGGGAGTGAATTTTTCTCACGTTTCCCAGAGCTCTATCCTTTTCTTCTCAAACAGCTGGAAGCTGTGGCGGATACTGTGGACAGGTAGGAAGAGAAGAGGGTGGGGCAAAGTGGAAACAAGGACGTGAGTTCCTTTATGGAGATGTCCCCTCCAGGGAACAGGTTTTAACCAGCTCCTTCCTTGTAACACGGATGGATTTTTTTTTTAAGTGCGTCTTTATTGTATCATGTTGCCTGACCCTCTCTCATAGATTTATACCTGAAAAGTTGTATAAAATCCTGTTTTTATATTTTATTTTGTATTTTAAAAATCCGGTTTTCAGTGTTATACAGGAAAGTTTCTTAGAAGCACATGGTGATGTCCTCTGTGAAGAATCATTTTCTTCCTGTCATATTTAAAAATGTGTGTGTGTACATATTGAGTTAACACATGCTTGTTATTTTTTATTACTGGTCTGGTACAGCTGACCATTGTGAAACTGCAGCAATTAGCTGCCCAACCTGGTCATCTGTGATCAGAAATGGCCCTGCTCTACTTGAGCCAAGGTGGCCAGTGACCCTGGAAACACAAAAGACTTTAAGGGAGTTTCCAGCCTGATCAGGGCAGATAGAAGAGTTTAACATTGTCCTTTCAAGCACATTTCCATAGCTGGCGGTGGAATTTTTATTATGGACATCTTAGAACATGCATTTTTTTCTTCTTCTAAGCAATTTTTGTACGGGTGTGAATTTATACTAGTCTGTAATGGAAAAATAAAATAACATCAATGGATTTTGTTTCTGTTTATGATACATTTCTTCATTAGTAATTTGTACAGACAGGCTTTTCTGACCCTAGTAAGTGACTGTTTGTGCTTTCTTAAGTACATGTTGAAAGTTTCACATTTCATACTGTGGAATAGGCACCTCTGTACTGTCGGAACAGCTCAAATCAAAACAGCAGACTCAAACGATCAAATGATTAGCTTTCGAGAAGAGAATCGTGTGCAAAAGCCCAATTCATGGCTTTGCCAGTAGTTCTTTCTCATTTGCACATTAGGAATATAAGAAGGGAATGGAGGGAAAAAAGGAAAAAAGACAAATTCTCCCTTAATCATAGAGAGTCTCACTTTATATACATAACTATTTAATGAGAAAAATGTTTGAAGATAGTGCCTCACCTCTTAAATTTGAAATGTTTTATGTACAATAATTTTTTTCCCCAGTGATCTAGGAGAACTAAACCGCCATCCCAGCATGTTTCTCTTACTTTTGGTGTTGGGGCGACTGTACCCCTCCCCGATGGACGGCACCTATTCTGCTCTTAGCATGGCACCTTTCGTTCCCTTCATTATGAGGTAGTGTATGCTTCATGGAGATATTGGGGGTGGGCATGGGGGCTTTATAGGGGCATTTTATCTTGTTCCTATTTTAGAAATTATAGTGTTATGTTTTGTTTTTACTTTGGGAGGGGTCTGGTGAAGGAAAGGACCGGGGGGTATTGCCATTGCCCCCAAGTGGTCTCCAGTGTTTCAAAGGTAAGTGCTTATGTTGTGGGTACAGGAGCTCATATCTACTGTTTAAGTAGTGTTTCCTCGGAGCCCTGCCTGCCAATGGATATGCAGTGTTCATAGGAGATATCCCCCCTTTGAAAAGCATAGCCTGGGTGTTGTGTTATCCACGTGTGAACCTGGCTAAAATGGGGCAGGCTCGGTGCTGGCATGTATCCCCTGTCCAGGGGTTCAAGAGGACCTCTGGCTCTTCGCTCCAGGGGAGTTTGCTAGTGTGTGCATGGGGTACCATCTAGATGGCAGTGCCGTGGAGCATGAGTTCACTACCCACTCATCTTCTCTTTCCAGTTCAGAGTACCTGAGAAAGAGCCACGCAGACAGATTCTGCATAGAATCAAATCATAACAGACTTTTCTGCTTCTAGAGCCTAATACTACTTCTCTGTTACATTTTTTTGGGGCATCTGCCAACTTCTGATCACCTTTTTCGTTTTGGATCAAAGGCCTCAATAAATAGGCCTCCAAAAAATCTTGAAATTGTCTTATGAAATTATTTCAGAAGCCCTGTTATTTTTTACCTCTTGACAAAAACAGCACCTTCGTTTTTATGTATGTACCAACAATCGAAATGGACTTAGAGCAAAAGGTTAAAATATACCAAACTTAAGAGTGCGTTTGTTGTTTATGTGGTGTCCTGTGTTCCACTTCCTGGTTTCACAGAGCTGACGGATGCATTATAATGTGAGAAACCATTAAACACAAGATTCTGACATGTGGTTGCTGTAGCCATTTGTTTGCGCCAAGGCCTGGCTGGGACTGTTATCTATGATCACAGCGATGACTCACTCAGATTGGTTTTTGTTTCCTGATACAGAGTTACCAGCCTCCCTATCCAGCGTTTGGTGATTCATTTTAGGAATTTGGGTCGTAATTTTACTTTCAAGAGCATTTAAAAATGGTACTTTCACATATAACTGGAAAGAACTAAAAAATATTTCAGAAAGCTGATGGGAGTGGGGAAGGGCACATGCGCAGGATCACAGTGTACATTAGAAACAAAGATACACTTTAGAACTTGGTCATCCTGTGTCGAGAACATTCAATTTGTGGAAGCTTATTACTAATCAGTCTGTTACGTGTTGCATCCTAGAAACCAGAAATTACTACATTGCAAGTATCCTTCCTGTCACTTATTAGTTTATATATAATCAGAACGCTCATATTACTAATTATATTCAGAGCTCTTATTACATCTAAGAAAGATTGCATTAATAAAGATTTAAATATTGCCTTAAAGTTGGTGTACTTAGTGAATCATTTTTAAACTCAAAAGGTACAAAGTAAAAAGTGTACATGTATGCCATCCTTCCAGTGAAAATGCTTTTGGTCATGTGTTGCTTTCTACCCGAATAAAGATTCATAGAGAAGTTGCCACAATTGATTCCTTAAAATGTCAGTAGGCTCTGATTTATTGAATGTCCAGATGTTTATAGACTAGTGTTTCTCAAACTTGCAGATGTAGACATACCACTTGGGGATCTCATGAATCCGGATCCAGTAGGTCTGGGGTGGGGCCTGACAGGCTGCCTTTCCAACTTCCAGGTAATGCTAATGCTGCTGCTCTGCGCATCACACTTAAAAGTAGCAAGATTAAATCTGGAATGTTAAACTTACACATTATCAGAACTGTCCCCACCCACACAGAGATGATTTTAATAAACTAGATGGTAGTAGGGTCATACCTGGTCCTTGGTTAGGTTATTCAGGGGGTTTATAAAAAGTAGACTTTGACCCAAAATGCAGAGAACAAGCAAGAAAGAGAAAGTATTCTGAGCAGAGAGGTCAGTAGGTAGTAGAAGCTCAGCCTTTGCTGAGCCTTAACTATTTGCCAGTCACTGAACTGGACAAAATGATTACGATGTATCTGAGAATAGGTGTTATCACCCCCATTTTCCTACTGAGGAAACTGAGGTTTAGAAAGTGAGTCAGTTATAGAGCTGGAAAATGAACTCAAGAGTACAGGGCTTGTCAAGAGTGTTCTAGTACACCAAAATAACCAGCTCCCTTTTGTGTAGCCAAGAGCTTGAGCTACACCGAGTAGGCCCCATGTTCGCTGAAGTTTATGCCACTAGGAGCAATGAGGAGCCTGTATCCAGAGTCAGTGGATCTGAGCACAGGCCATTTTGAGGACATTGAAGTCATGTGCCCACCAGCAATGAGATCTACTCCTCACTTTGCTTTTTCAGTAGTGCCAGTGGCTTGATTGGATGCTGCCATTCCTTTAGGCTCATATCTGTGGGATCATTGCCTGGGGTGATGGGGTTGGTCCATGGCCAGGTATGGAGGAAGGGTGGCTTTTCTTGATCATCTTCTGTGGTTCAGTGGCAGTATCCTAGACTTAGAGGGAGAAAACCTACTTTTGTGTTTCATCAGCCTACTGTAGGAACAACTCTGTGCTACCCTAAAATGTTCACAATCACACTGGGAAGGTGAACCATATACAGATTTTTTTTTAATAGTGAATTTGATAAAACTGTCTACATTTGATTTAAATTATTTCTGAGAAAATGAATCATGAACTAAGTAAAAGATTGATCATAAAACCTGTCATTTCAGACAGCACTTGTGGTTCTCGTCATAGTAAAGATTGGGCTGTTCTGACTTGGGATAACAGCTGAAAAAGATAGATACATGCACAAGTGGATGGGTGGTATTTTATTTTTGTAGCATTGCTGATGTTAATTTATGTACTTAGAAGAGCTCTAATCAGGCCCTTGGACACTGTGAGTTTCAGCCAAAGAGACATTTTTCAGCTCATGGGAGTAGCACAGAGTTTACTTTGACTGCTCAAGTGAATTGCACAATGAGAAGATTAAAGGCCCCAACAACAGTTTTTTTATTTCCTTTTGATTTATGTATATTTACCTGCCATTTCCTTCCTCTCTGTGAGGTGTTTGTAAGTATCATTAGTATTGTGGTTCCTTATCCCACATTTGGGAGTATAAACTTAAATTTTGGTTGATTGTCTTTATTGACTTAAATCTTAGAAGTTTCTGATTTGGATTTTCCCAAGTTATGCATGTGTGCAGTAATGATTATTGCATCATCTTGGAACAGAAATGATAATGCTAATCCCAGTGTTTTGTTTCTAAGTTTTTGTTTTTGATCCAGTATATTTTATGTCCCTGATGCTTTGCTGGATCCAGATACACAGCCCTTTACCATATGAATATGATGCTTTCAGTTTAAGGCCGTTCACCCTTCAGTTCAAATACCACAAAGCAGAGTTACTCATGCTTCAAAAGGGACCCCAGCTGGCTCCCTGAATACAGCTTGCCAGTGCCCACTTGTCTGGGGCTTTCTAGAGACCCAAGTATCTATGGACGTGCACCTTTGAATTCCCTTCCACAAGCAAGTTTCAAGTTTGAATTGAAGAGTTGTAAGGAAACCAAATATGCCCCAAACCCAAGCGACACCATGGAGCCCTAAACAGGGCAAAGGCCCTGGACTCCAGGAGACCTGGTTCTGTCTAAGCTCTGCCACTTATTCACAAGCGGTGACACTTGAACCAAGCTCTTTTACCCTCTCTGGACCAATGTGGTACCTGTGCATCTCAGGTATCAGTTGAGACAGAATGTGCCTTCTATTGCTGATAACTGAAGTCTCAGAATCAGATTAATATCTGCAGGAGAAATCCCTCTACTGCCTTTTATTCACTCTTGGGTGCTTTTTTTTTAAGAAGAAGGGTGCAGCTCACAGTGGCCCTTGTGGGACTCGAACCAGCAACCTTGGTGGTGTTATCAGCACCACACTCTAACCAACTGAGCTAACCAGCCACCCCCTTGGGTGCTTTAAAAAGAGGTTCCCCACCTGCTTTTTTCTTTTTTTTTTTTTGCTTATTTTCATTGCAAATGACTTTCGGGATGTTTTTCCCCAAATCATTTCAGTCATTGTTTGCTTTAGATAAATTTTCAGTGAAATCTGCTTTTCTTCTCTCTGAAAAAGATTGAGGTACAAATAACAATCTTCATTAAACACACGGTGGTAGAAATCACCTGTAGGAACCTAGGCAGTAGAAACTTTTTCAGCTGAGATACTGAAAAATCTAGCCAACAATCAAAAAAATTAGGTAGTGCCGGATGGGTACTAGACTTATGGGGGGATCATTTTGCAAATTATATGAACTTCTAACCACTATTCTGAAACTAATATAAAATAATATTGACTGTCAATTGTAATTGAAAAATAAAAATTAATTTAAAATTTTGTTTCGAAAATACATGTTTGATATATTTTTAAACCATTTCACGGAACCTTTGGCTTGTATCAGTCTTAAAAAGAGATTAGTTACAAAAGCTAAGAGTTAGTTAAGCATTTTAAGCCTATGCTATTGGGAAATAATTTTGACTCTTGTTTTCCTTGAAAGTTACATAATTCAAGGATTATCACTTTACTCCTTACCCAGATTATGAAGTTGAAAGAACTTGTTTTTCATAGTGTAGAGCTGGGGTTTTTTTCAGTAGACAATAGCTGGCTTCTACCTTCATTTTTTATTGTAATACTGGGAACTCTCCCTCAAGGCTGTGAGGCACATTTCTATTGGCTCTGTCTTGTACATAAATAGAAGGCAGGATAAATAGAGGGCAGGATTTGCTTTATAGAGAGATAAATGAGGCAGAGAACAGTGGAAACTCTGCTGGGCAGACAGACACGCCCTTCACGCTCTCCACTTTGGCTCTAATCATCTCTCCCTCTGAAGGGCTGTAGCTTTTGTTACTTAAACATCTTATCTTGCTACTCCTCATTACTGTTATCATACTGTAATTTATACCCCCCATGATTATTCTC